TTGGGAAACGCTGGGCCAGAAGTTCCAAATTAAAATCCCTAAAGGGCTAAATTGCTGTTAGCTTTTCCCGCGGCTAGGGAAAATTTAATAATTAGAACAGAACCGAATGCTATTGTAATACACTCATGTCCATAAATTAAGGATAATGCAAAATCAGGCAAAGGAGGAGTTAGAAGCAAAACAAATTTGACTTATTTGTAAAGCTTATTTATTAAACAAAAGGTAAAGAGCAAAAAAAGATGCTATATGTTTGATATTATTAAAAAAATTAGCGATTTTTTCTCCCTGGGGCAAATAACAAAAAAAAAACCTATTTACAAAAAACCAATATTACGTGGTTGGTATGATTGTTAATACATTGTATGTCTCCCAGACGATGCAATACAGTCCGTACAACGCTTAGGCATGTCGAGTATCAAATTATCGATCTGATCTTGGGGGATATTACACCACTCAAAAAGCAATGCTCTCCGAAGTTCCGGTAGACATGTAGGAGGAGATTGACGGGCTGCAACTCGTCGGCCAAGCATGTCCCACACGTGCTCTACTGGATTCAAGTCCGGTGAGAATACTGGCCAGTCCATACGTGTGATATCCTCCGATTGAAGGCATTCGCTTAACTACGCTAATTCCATAAACTACATTTCTACGTTTGAATTTAACGTTGTTGTTGCTAATCCTCGAGTCCAGCTTTAACGTTGTTGTTGCTAATCCTCGAGTCCAGCTTTAACGTTGTTATGTTAATTTAAATATCCACATATGGAGAAGGTTTCGTCTGTAGCACAAGTTGTGCCTCTTCGATTACATTAAGACTAAATTAAGAAAACTCATTTTAACCTTTTTCTGTATTTTGTGAGTTGTTTTAGACACAGCGATAACTCGCTATTTGTCTAGTAGGGTCTGCAGGATTTTTAATTCTAGCTTCTAGTTACAACAGAAACCCTATAGGTATTGTTTCGTACAAGCAATTCAACGAAAAACGTACATATTTACATCTTGAATAATGAAATTTTTCATATTTTAATTAATATTATGTTCTACATCTTGAATTTGCGGAAATGTTTCCATAAATTAAGAAGTCTGTTTATCTTAAAGCTATTTAGTTATTAAACTGGAATCTGAATAAAAAGATAATTTTTTTTTTAGTTTTATGAGTTCTTATAATTAATTTTTTAATTTTAATGGCAATTTTTTTTTTTTTTTTTTTTTTTTTTTTTTTTTGTGTGGTTTATATTTTTTTAAATATGATCAGGTTTGTGATCAGATAGCATATTCAGATTGTAATTTTATTAATTTTTTCTAGTATTTGTTACTTAAAGTAATTTTTTAATTTTCAGTTTCTTAATGTAAAATATTTAAATTGCTGTTTTATTAACTTATTTATTTGTGCATATTTTCCTCAAAGAAGTAGTGTAACTTAACGACCGAGATACGGTATATCTTAACCAGCTTTAGAAGGAAGCTGTAAAAGTTAACTTTTTGGGGTGATTTAATAATTCCATATTGAGTAATACAGTACGAGTTATTAAATTTTCATTCAACCCTGTGAAAGTATTAATTATGTAATATCCACGAACTTTGCCCATAAAGATATGGAAAGTTTCGTATTTAATAAATTAGAGAATAATGATTATTTCATTAATTAGGATATTTGTTATTTTGAGAGCCTAGAAAATGTTACATTTTATATTTTTAGATCGCTTTCATTCTCAGTACTTAAAACTGTTTTTGTAAGATTTTCTACCTTATTTTAATAAACCTTGTGTACCTTATTTTAAAAAACTCTTGAACTACGGGGGGGGAGAAGCATAATGAAGCCCACGTGGGACTTTTGCTTCTTCAGAAATTTAGCTATTGACAATCTCCTACTGAAAGCAGATAAGTGCATACTTATCTGCTTTCAGTAGGAGTATACTTCATTAAAATGAAAAACAGCTTGTTAAACTTTGCCTTGTGGTAGAACACAGAATCCCAACGAAACCCTCAATCTATTATATGGAAATTTTGTGCAAAAACAAGCAGTTCAAGCAAAATAATTGCTGGTATAGCTGCAAACGAAGCAATTGTAGTATTTAACAAAAGAAGGCAGGGAAGACTGCAAATCATGCCCAATTTGGGTTTTCAAGTGGACAACATTCTTTAGAAGCAGCAGGAAACACAACGCTTTACAACAAAAGCGGAAGCTGAAAAAAATGTTTCAGAATTTAATTTGTTTGTTTGAAAAATCAGACATTTACATTGTAAGATTCATTTAATTTACATAATATTTATTTTAAATGTGGAATCTATACGGTCACTTCTCTCTTTCCGCTTTCCCATCAGAATGCAAATTAGCTCGCTTGCATTTAAGTGAGATTGGTAAGTCAGATCGCGTCCACCCGTTTGAAGGCCACGTTATTAGTTTTTGTTATTTTAGATAAGAGTTCCTGTCTTCGGCGTTGCTATTTGCCGATAGTTAAAATCATGCCAGTGAAGTCCGAGACAACATTGCGATTAAATTTCTCTTTGTAGCCTTAGGCTATTAGTATTTAAATTAGCTTTACTTTCGAATTTCTATTTTAAGTTCTCGCCATAAATGCTGGTAGATTTGTAAGCACCAGCAATGCCTTCTGTTCAACTATTTGGGTTTAAAATAAAAGAGTCTTTTACACCTTTCTCAAGTTTCTGCACTTTAATTTTAGACATAGGTAAGTAGCTATAAATCTATGAAAAAAGTAAAGTCACATTGTATAATTTTATAATAGAAAAGACGGCAAACTTTGTAGCATAATACTTCCCAATTAGAAAGAATTAAACAACAGGAAGGTGTTGTTGTATATGAAAGTGAAAAAAATTTGAATTGTGCTATAATTATGTTTTTATAGAATGTGTATGAATTTTATATCACATAAAATTTTACTTTATTTGAGATTCTCTTCACGAGCATTATGTAAAGGTAAGTTTTGCAATATGGTAAATGATTTTCATTACTACTGTTACTATTGTCATGATGAGTGTTATACATGTCACATTTGCGTTTAATGATTTTTGCTGTATGTTGTATATTTTTTCATTTTATAAATTAATTTACTTTCACCTACCTGAATATCAAGAGAAATTAATAGCAAAATTATTTTACAGAAAGTGATTTTATTGTTTATGTTCATTGTTTATGTAAATTTATGTTTCCTAAGTAAAAATTTAAGCAGCTTTTCTTGAAAACGCTGCTTTTTAAACTTACGTGCAGGATACTTATAAAACCGCTCAGGATATAGCACAAATAAATATCAAGGCAATAATTAAAATAGACTGTAATTAAAAAGATACGTTAAATAAAAATTGTTTTCAGTAAAACTGCATGTAAAAAATTAACATAAAATGAATTTAACAATTAATGCTTAATTATGTTTTTAAAAATTGAACTAATTAAAAAGTTCTGATTGCGATGAATAATAAAATTAATTAGTTTAGTTTGGCATTAACATTTTGCAGATCGTATTAAATTTATGTAAGATGCCCTGCTTGCAAAGAAGCAGTACAATATATGACTTGAATTGTTAGAGTCTTACAAAAGCATTTTTAAAAATTATTAAACTTATTTCAAATTTACTAAATATTATTTAGGCATATAGAAGTCTCATCTAATAACTCTGAACATATTGTGAATCTAAGTACAAAAGTTAATTTTACAAAAACGTGTAGAATATGTTAAATATTTTGTATTTTTCTTTGGTTAAAGGTGTACTGCCGCCGTAAGAGAAAGCATCACAAGGAAGAGAAAGTACATTACCTATTTATTCTAGAGTGAATTCATTAATGTCTCATCTATTGTGTGAGGTGAATCATCTGGCTATCGATAATTACACTAATACTATCTTGTTGGTCTTGAATAAAAAATAGGCAGAGGGTTGCCACTGAGATATTACATGTTACTAACTAATCAAAATGCAGAGATTATATGAAGGAAAAAACTTATCATTTACAACTATAAAGGTCTCATGCTTTGATAATGAAGAAGTGGTAATATAATTACTGTATAATACTGAAGTAAATATAATAAATACGACTCCTTCTCAGTAGCTATTCAGGAATCCTCACAATCGTCATAAAAGTACAGTAATAATGCACTCTTATCCAAATTTGAATAAAAATAAAAATACTGTCACATATTAAGCAGTTACACCTGTTATTCTTGACTTCCTAACTATTTCTTAGAAGTTAATCTACTGCTGCAAGTCCTTTGTATGGCACTTAATTCGTTATTTAAGACTTGTAATATTAAACTAAGTTCGACGATGAATAACAGAAAAACGTGACAGGTTATGTTTTGTAGAACCATTCGATTTATTCGACTGACGCATTGTCCGTGCAGAGATGACCAACGTCGTTCACCAATAAAATAATTCCCGATAATCACAATACTACTTTAAAAAGTCTATTTCTCCCACCTTCAAAACTACGATTCATAACCATGGGAACGTTGGCTGCGAAAAAAAATGGAATCTCTAAATTTGCTATTCCCTCTGTGCGGTAAATGACGACCGCATTGCGATCGTAACAGAAGAAAGGTTCACTACGACCTTAAAATGTCAAATTTAATGTAATAGAGTGTAACAACAGAATATAGCTTACACAAATGTGATTTATCAATAAATTTTAAATTTCTGTTGTCACCATGGCACCGTTTTAAGTTTCTAAGTGATTTTAATAATAGAATTATATACCTATTTTACAATAAATAGTAAACTAGGTTAATGCAGGCATATATTTTATGCATTTACGTCATTCTTGATTATTCAAGATTTTTTAATTATATCTGTCTGGCTTTTTGCTAGTTTTTCCACTTGCCGTAAACTTTCAAAAATCATATTGGAGAAGAAAATCCGTGAATAAGCGGTATTGCGCAAAAAATCACTTACTTCTTTGATCAACTGTAAGTAGAAATTCATGCCTAATATTTAAAAAGAATAAAGATCGTTTCCTCTAGATGCAATACGAAGAAATTCATTCGTGAAAAGAAATATAATTAAATGTAACGAAACATTGTTTTATTTGTCTAAAATTGAACAAAAATTTGGCATTTATAGCCAGTTGATTTCTCACTGTGCGTCTACGTAAAATATTTTTATTGGTATCTATTCATTCAGGCAGTAGTTGACAGCCTTCGAGGATAAAGTTATCGAGAATTATTTTCTGCAACTCTGCTTTTGAGGAATTTGCATTTCGCAGGATCTGGGCAACGCCCTGCGTTGCTACATCTTCTATATAAATGTTCTGCATATTTGAAGAGTCATTTAAGATTACATCGCAAATGATATAGACTCGGCATTCTTTTTGAATCTGACCATCTTCGCTCACAGCACTGCTGATCTCGTTGCTCTCCGACTTGCAGACGATGGCTCTGCCGATCTTCTTGCCTAAACTGGTGTCCATTATGTGGAAGTTTTCATCGGGGTCAACTGCTTGGAGTTGCAGACCATATCCGGGGCCGTAACTGTCTGACCAGAAGAAGTTGTCATTCTCGTTCAGAGTGTAACTTTCAAATGTCATTCTTTTGCCGTAACCCAGGCCAATACTTTCTAGCCTCAGAGATTTACCGCCGAAGAGGTATTCATCATTTAAATTCTTCCGTACTTTGTACCTGAACCCTGGAATAATCTTCGGATCCACATAAGTACCTGCAAAACAGAAATATTAGTAATAAATGAATTTCTTAAAAAATCCAAATGATTCTGTACCAGATACATAATATATGGCATTAGAAACATGTTTAATTAATTACATAAACTCTGATATTCATAAAAATTATCAGCTGCACATATCATAAATTATCTCTGTTTTAACTTACATCAATCTAATGTATTATTGAAAATGAAATAGAGATTTAATTAATAAGGTGTACCTTTACTGATTTTAAAGCGCAATGTAGGTATGTATATAATGTAACTTAATATAGTGATCGACACATTTTGGAGAGGTAATGCTATCAGGTTCAATGTTTCTTCTAACCTTCTTCGGAAACATACAATGACCTGACTAGAACAGAGAGCTTACTAAAGCTATGTTCACTAATTGTAGTAAGTAGACAGGATACAGACGAAGGGTATACAAAACCCTTTATTTTTTTTTATATACAATGACTTCCGTACTTCGGAATACAATGACCCTCCACTCGGGGTCTAACTTAAAAGATATCAAAATAAAACTAAACTCTAATTTAACTTTAGAATAAGATTGGCCTTATAATAACAGGAAGCGTATGTAGCACAGAGACTGTGAACACTACAATACGTTTAATTTATCAAGAGGATTAAAACCTCTGGCCTGGAAGGCAAAGTAGCAACTGCGTAACTTCTAAGGTAAGCGGCCTGCTTCGAACTCACGGCTTCCTCTCTTCTGCTTGGCAAAAAGGCCACACTTAAATACTTGGCGTTCGCCAGACAAACTTTGCATAAACTCCTTCACGCTTATAATTCTGGCCGGAAGTAGAAAATAAGAAGTGATAGTAAAGATTTAAAATAAAATAAACGTTAGTAAAACTTAAGATCCTTACATACTTCCCGCCAGAGTTAATTAGTTTGAAACTGAGGTCTAAAACGACCTTGTTGAAAACTTTTAGCTCTAGAAACTAACGCGAGGCCAAACCTTTTACAAACATAACTTAGCTAGAAACTAGAAAATTTTAAAAGAAAGAAATTTGTTACAATAGCAGCTCCCGGAATATACAACAATCTTTTTTCTTTTTCATCTGTACTGCATCAAAAACAGGAGCTTTATTCAATTCTGGTTCCTTCCAGAGATCTGGAAGGAAAACTAGTTTAATGAAATGTTACAGAATGACATTGCAAATAACATATAGAATATACTACTTTCTTAACATTCTTATTTCATTCATGACTATTTTAATTATCTCTCCCCGTGCTCTCTGACATGTGTTGTAAAAACACCAAACACGAATGTGTTTCTGTCTATGTGTTCAACACTTCCTCCTACAATCAAAACACTAACGTGTTAAAATTCAACATACGAGACCTCTTAACACACCCTAATTTCAACTCTAGAACCCTGAGGTACTATTCTGAAAGTGGCTAACTCTAAAGTGTAGCGTCAGAGAGCCTAACTACATCATTCAACCTTTAACACATATTCACCATGATTTAATCTTTACAGTCACACGAATAACAAATTTTTAACATTACTTTCACTTTTACCATATCACGGTATTTCTTAACATTCAAAATAACAGTTCACATGTATACAAGAACATATCAAGATGCCGTTAATTTTACACATTTGAAAACATACATTAGTAGTACATTGTTAACTTCTATTCTTTTCAAAGCAAGTGCCAATTCTTTCTACATTGAAATAATACTACATTTCAAAAAGTCTTTCAGACTAAAACTTCTTTCTTGTTAGAATGTTTTAAATAAAATTTATACAATAACTTTTTACAATATTTAAGTCTTTATACAACGCTATTATACATCAACTTTAGTTTTACGCGCGAGTAATTGAAAAACATAATAAGAAAATCGGTCACAACTCATTTCTCGCCCTTTTGGCGATAAAGGTAGACCTCGCATGAGGTAAAACTTCTTGAAATCTGCCACTTGCAGTAAGAATGAAAGATTAACTTAAGTTTGTAAAGTAACATAAAATTTTACTTATCTTTGTAATATTCAGACATCCTTTTCTGGGCCCAGTCTTTAAAGGTGCTGCAGACCGTAGCTTGGTTGATCCTCCTTCTTGTACGGGCTCGCCCTTCAGTGCTTTCCTCTGGAAGCTTCCGTTTTTCACCACTACGGCCACCCTTGAACATCTTCCTTCTGTCCTCTGCTTGTGGTCTTGGCCGTTTGAAGGCAGCTGGTCTTGGTGGAACCGGGAAACTTCTGTCGTGATCCTGCTTGGACCTCGTTGTTGGCCGTTCAAATTTTTCTTGTACTTTTTCCTCCGCCGCTGATGGCCCTTCCGCAGTTCGGCGACTTTTGCTGCGGAGAGTTCTGTCGGATGAGTCAATCTTCCGTTTCACAGCCGGGTTATAGTTGCCGTCCTTTCTCCCGGTCTTTTCCACATACGTCGTCCTTCTCCCTTCTTCATTCTGGGGGTGTTCGTGAACTCTGTTTTTTGGACGGTGGAACGGCTTCTTTTTCTTTTTACCTTCAATTTTTCCGCGGGGCAATTTTCTTTTCACTTGCTTCTGTCTCTCATTGGCTTGCCCTTGTACTTGTCGTTTTCCCACCTCTGGAACTTGTACCTGCGGTGTCTGCCGTACCGGATCCTGCAAAAGATCTGAAAAGATTTGCATTTTATTACGATCATAGAATGGTTTTATCTTGATCAATGTTTGCGGAACAGGTTTCACCATTTCTTGCCTTTAACACTACAACAGCGTGAGTTATTTTTTCTATAACATATGGTCCTTCAAAGCGTGGAAAAAATTTGGCAGTTTTATCTTCTGGTGCTGAAGAAAGTGAATGCTTAATTTTTAGTACTTCATCCCCTACTTTATAAGTTACTCCCCGTCGTTTCAAGTCATAATACAATTTGTTTTCTTTGTGCTACTTCCGTATTCTTTTTTGCTTCTTTTATTAGTTTTTCTATATCACCCATTTTAAATTCTGGGGCTCTTTGTTGCACATAAAATAGTTTATCTAACGGTGTTATAATCTTTCTGCCTAGAAATAACTCAGCAGGAGTTTTGCCCGTTGTATCATGTTTTGCGGTCCTAAGGGCGAAAGCAAATTCATTGACATAGTTATCCCAGCTTTTATGAAAATTTTTAACATAACTACGGATAATTTTCACTATATTTCTGTTGACCCGTTCCGCTATATTTGATTGCGGCCGATACGGGACCATTTTTAAATGACGTATGCCCAGTTTTTGGCACATGTCTTCAAATATATTACTTACAAATTGAGGACCATTATCCGATATAACTTTTAGGGGCGCCCCGTATTTTAAAATATATTTATTTAAAATAGAATCGGTAACTAATTTCGCGGAGGCTCGTTTTAAGGGAACAATTTCGGTCCATTTACTAAAATGATCAACTATAACAAGGAGATAGCGACTTTTGTTTAACTGACTTTTTGGGAAAGGGCCCAATAAATCGATGCCGATTATTTCATTTGGAAATTCGGATTTAATACTATTTAGAAACCCGGCCGGGCGGAAATTAATATAATTAACGGCTTGACATGTTGGGCAGGACTGGACATACGCCCTTGTTAACTTTTGCAGTTCAGGAAAGTAGACTGCCTCGCGTACGCGTTGAGTAGTTTTTCGAATACCAGCATGAGAAGCTAAAGGGCTGTCATGGAGCTCTTGCAGGATATTTAATCTAAGACTAGCTGGGATAACAGGTCGAAATTCGTTGTTGGAATTCGTAGTTTTTGTGTATAAAATAATAGACCATCTATTAGTTCGTAATGGGCCGCCCTATTTCTTATCGCCACAATATCTTGGTGGCTAAAATTTTCAGGATCCTTCAAATACTCATAAATACTTCCAAACTCAGGATCCTTACCCAGTTCGGTTATTACAGTTTCTCGGGAATTTATTGTACACGCTGTCAGCATTGCAACTTTTACGGTATTACCCTGTTCGTCTAATTTAATTCGTGACAGGGCATCTGCTACGATATTTTCCTTTCCGGGGGTATGCTTGATTACCAGATTATATTCTTGCAGCTTGAGTGCCCATCTTATTAACCTTGGGGATAAATTTTTTCCAGAGTACAATCTAGTTACCGCCGCATGATCAGAATATACTGTTATCGGCGCCTTTCCAAAATAGACTCGGAACTTTTGCACTGCTAACAGAACTGCAAGTGCCTCTCTCTCGGTCGCGGAATAGTTTCTTTGTGTTTGATTTAAAGTTCGGCTAAAAAATGCCACTGGCTGCTGATTTTGCGAAAGTACCGCTCCTACCGCATAATCCGAAGCATCCGCTGAAATTTCTAAATTTTCATCCTTTTCAGGAAATTTCAACACAGGGGCTTGCGTTAATGCTTGTTTTAATTTTTCGAAAGCACTATTGGCTTCGGCCGTCCACGAGAATCTTGCCTTTTTCCTTTTTAATTTTAACAATGGCTCAGCGATAGCCGCAAAATCTTTTATAAAGGACCTATAATATGAACAAAGTCCTAGAAAAGAAGAGAGCTTCTTTGCCGTGTTTGGAGTCGGATACTTTTGTACAGCGATTATTTTTGATTCATCTGTCTCGATCCCTTTTTGCGATATTTTGTAACCTAAATATTTTAATTCAGGGGCTGCAAATTTGCATTTTTCGACATTAACTTTTAGACCGGCCTCATTTAATAAAGAAAACACCTGTCTTAAATCCTGTACATGTTGGTCTAGATTATCACTAGTAATAATGATATCGTCTAAATAGATAAATGTGGACTTTCCGAGAACAGGTCTTAACACAATGTCCATGCATCGCTGAAATGTTGCTGGGGCGCCTGAAAGGCCAAACGGCATTCGCAAAAATGCATAAGTGCCAGACTTGGTTATAAAAGCAGTCTTAGGCACGTCCTCAGGCCTGATCCCTATTTGAAAATAACCATTCGTTAAGTCTAAAGTTGTCATAAATTTGGTTGATTTTATGTTCCTTAAAATTTCTTCTATAATCGGTAACGGATATACCGGATATTTCGTTATGGAATTTAATTTACGGTAATCAATAGCGAATCTCCACCTTTTTGGATGCTCCAAAGGATAATCATTATTTTTTCTTACATAAAACCACCGGACTAGCATAACTACTTGAGATAGGCGTTACGATCTTTTTACGTAGCATATCGGTAATATGCCATTCTATAATTTTTTCCTTATTCTTATCATACCGGTATGGTTTTTGACGAACCGGCAATGCATCTCCGGTGTCAATACTATGGTTAGTAACCTGGGTAAATCCTGGAATATCACTAAATAAGGAAGCAAATTCACTTACCACTTGTCGGATTCTATCTTGCTCGTCATTAGGCAGGTGGTCGAGATTTAACCTTGGCGGTTCAACCTTTTCTACACGCACTGGTTTCATCGTCAGCTTAAGAGACGCTTCATTAAAATCCAGTGTAGCTTGTGCGTCTGAAAGAAAGTCTATTCCTAGTATTAAGTGTGCTTGCAAATTCTTTACTATAAAAAACATCACCTTTACTTGTTCGTCCTTGATACGGATGTACAAAGGTACTTTACCTACGCACTTACATTGTTCTCCTTGCGCCGCTAATACTGTTGTATTATCCGCATTATATATGCGGTATTTGCGAAAATACTTTCTAAAAAAGACTTCTGCCACACAGGAACACTGCGCGCCGGTATCCAGGAGTGCGGTGGCCGGGATATTATTTACCAAGACTTCAATCTTCGGAAGAGTTAAATTTTTCACCATTACTGTATTTAACTTGTAGGAAGAGGGGTTTTCGTGGCCTTCGGATTTCCGCACCCTCTCGTCAGCAGAAAAATCCGTTTTAGTTTAAATTATTTTTCTTTCGGTGCTTTCCTTCTTTCTCCACTGGCCTTGAGACTTTTTTCCTGGGTTGCTATTGAACTGTCGACGTTCGCCGGCTGTTTTTGAATGCTCGGGTTTCCTTGCCCACTGATTCGCTTTTTCTCCGTAGCCATGTGCTTGAGTTTGCTGTAGTCTTGGCGTACCAAATTGGTTTCGCTGTTGATATTGGCGTCTTCTTTCGACGTCCGCCGTTCTTCTACTTTCAAACTGGATTGCTAGCTCAAATAATTTTCCAGTGTAGTCGGATTTCTCAATTCAATAAAGTCTTGCACTTGGGGTAGTAACCTCGGCAAAATCACTTGAATTATTTCAGGATCCGGACGGTTTCCATACAAGAGCTTGAAAACGTGAATTTTTCTTAAAATAAAGCTCGAGAGGTTTTCCATTCTTTGTTGATATATACTGAAAAGTTCTGTTTCTAATTTCGCACGATCCCTTACAACAGGGAAGGCTTTTAGTAGGGCAGTCTTGAAATTTTCGTAGGTATAGGTGGGACTTCCTGCTTGACCCAAGAGACTTCTGCCGATACATTTGAACCAGTTAAGCGCTTGGCCCCTCAAAGCGCTGGTAGCTAAGGTAACTTTTTGAAACTCGTGCACGGGGTAGAGCATGAAGTGGTCATCCAATTTTTCCAAAAAAACTGGTTACCTGTGAGTTTCCATTAAACGTTGCTTCTGGTTTCATCGAAGCGCGCATGGTCTGGACAATATACCCAAATCCTTCCAGGGCGGCAGCTGGCATTTCTGGATTCTGAGCTGTTTCTGCAGGCAGCACAGGTTCTTCTTGAAACTCGGCCATGGTTATTCTTCGTCGGGCGCCACTATCAGGTTCAATGTTTCTTTTCTTCTAACCTTCTTCGGAAACATACAATGACCTGACTAGAACAGAGAGCTTACTAAAGCTATGTTCACTAATTGTAGTAAGTAGACAGGATACAGACGAAGGGTATACAAAACCCTTTATTTTTTTCTTTATATACAATGACTTCCGTACTTCGGAATACAATGACCCTCCACTCGGGGTCTAACTTAAAGATATCAAAATAAAACTAAACTCTAATTTAACTTTAGAATAAGATAAGATTGGCCTTATAATAACAGAAAGCGTATGTAGCACAGAGACTGTGAACACTACAATACGTTTAATTTATCAAGAGGATTAAAACCTCTGGCCTGGAAGGCAAAGTAGCAACTGCGTAACTTCTAAGGTAAGCGGCCTGCTTCGAACTCACGGCTTCCTCTCTCTCTGCTTGGCAAAAAGGCCACACTTAAATACTTGGCGTTCGCCAGACAACTTTGCATAAAACCTTCACGCTTATAATTCTGGCCGGAAGTAGAAAATAAGAAGTGATAGTAAAGATTTAAAATAAAATAAACGTAGTAAAATTAAGATCCTACAAGGGTCTAATATAAAATTTCACCAAGATTTACGAGACAAGTTTTCAAAGTCGAGTAGAAATATTTATTTAAATAATATATATATATACAGTTGAAAACTCAAAAATGTTTTCCATTTCCTTCCATGCCAGGTTGTTTTTGAGTGCGAGACTCCAGTTTTTGTCAGGTTTTTCTAAACTCTTGTAGCGATTCTGTCCGTTGTTTAGATAATTTTTTTAAATGTATATTGTTGCTTAAATGCTATTATCATTACAAGTATTGTTTCTATTTCTCGTGCTTGGTATCAGTCTTGCTATCTACCATAAAAATTTCGAGTGACTTGGCCTATTGATTCTATAGCAGTTATTCTATTTGAAAAAGTTGTAATCTGCAGTACTAACGAAAGTATGTGACGACATATGATGCTCTCCAAACTCTTCTTGGTCTCGCTCATCATGAACCTTCGTTTGTACTTTGTTCTGATACTATTTTTCATACATTTTCCCTCAATCTGCGAGAAATTTCAGCTGCGTTAAGACCTGAAGCTCCAAGAAATCTCAAAACAGGCTGACCTGGCACTTGGCGGCAATACAGATTCAATTAAAAGACAATTTTACTGGCGCTCTGCACCAACAGAAGTGGTTAGAATGAAGACAAATGACATATCATGCTGATTATGATGCTGCTTTCGATGCTGATTATGATGCATAAACTATGCATCATAATCAGCATCGAAAAATTCAGCCTAATTTGGGTTTCCTTCTCCAATGTCGCAGTGTTTGTAGGAATAGTACTTCGAAATGTACGAAGCACCATGAAATGAGAGCTAAAAAAAAAGGTGTACATATTCATTATGTGCGTATATAACTATATACAATAAAACTTTCCAAAGAACTTCCTTATATCTTTGTGTTACGAAAAATGGTGTACGTGCATAACGGGAAATGCTTTCCAGTGCCCCAACGCTTAATGAGCGACTATTCATTATGTATGAAAAGTGTTTGTTTCAGGGTATTCATTTATGCCCTAAAGTTAGTTTATTTTGAAATGCCTGGTGTACTGAACTTTCTGATGTGGAACGAACACCTCAGAAAATTACCCCTATTCCAAAGAGAATAGCAAACGGGTTGGCTAGATATGGGCGTTTCGTGTTTTTTTCCATTAGTAACGTATACGCAAACGAGTTTTCCTTAGAAAGCCCTCCACGAAGGCTGTCCGTTCATCTAGGCAGGTAGATGCTTTGCCGTAATCAAATAAACCAAAATTCAGATAGAATAAATAAACATTGGTACTGAACATCACCTCTTTAAGATGAATACCTTCATAAGAGACCAAAATCATCTGGGGCTAAAGAGTACTATATAAATCTTAAAATTGATAAATACTAGCATTAATGTAATAAGGCAATAAAACTTTAACAAAATTCTTATAAATACCAAATACCTTCCATTTCTGGCTTTTTTTAAATTATCCCAGCATATGCCAATACTAATTGATAAAATCTGCTTCGTTTGACCGTGATTGTACTATATTTAAACTAACGGTTGTCATTTAAAAAAAAAAAAAAAAAAAAATTAGCTATGCCTTAAAATAGACATTACATCATTTTTATTTGATACCTATGTTATATTGGGCCCATAGCTTTAATTATCCTCTTTAGTTAAAAATTATATAAATGCAATAGAAGATTTAAAAAGCATTCCCTTATGACATAAAATATTTTATTTTTCATCATTAATCTAATGCATCAAAATAGTTTGTTAGTGTATTTCGGATTTTCATTAGCTAGTGTTAATATAGGCTAGCATTTACCAAAATGGTTTACAAACGTCTGAAATGGAAGCATTTATAAGTATTTTTTTGAGTTTAATCGTCTCATTGTAGGATAATAATAGGATTTATTGCCAAGATCTAAAATTCACTAATTTTTAAATTTTAAAAGATGTATATAAATATAGCGTAACTGCAATCTTTTGAAAATCTTTTTGACAGTAAAATAAAAGCTTTTGTTTCATTGCATGTAATTGGCAAGAAACATTTAATTTTAATAACACAGGTTTTTTTTTTAAATTAACCTATCTCAAATCAATGGAGAAAAACAAATACCAAATCGAATTCAACGTTCTCCATATTAAAATAGAATTGATTCGTTTCTCACCTTTAACGACCAGTTCTCCTGGTTTAAATCCTTTCGAATCGTAGCATGTTGGGATGTCTCCGATGTCTTCGCCTCTGACTGCCCATTTATTGCAAGAATTCTAAAACAGAAATACCTCTTAAGTGCTTTGTGACATTTTTTATTAAAGAATAATAAAAAATACTACAGAAGGGCCCGGGTTCGAATCTTGGAGAAGACATGGATGTTTATAAATGTAGTGTCGGTGCGGCATGGCGGTGCTCTAAATATGCGGCGAGCCGAAAGTCCTCTTGTGTGGTGGAAGGGGAGAGAGGTGGGAGACCCCGGATCTCATTCCCCGGGGTGCTCTTCCTCAAAATTGAGGGTGGAAAATAGGAGTCCAACCTCTGTTCGAAGTAAATTGGCAGCCATTGTTCCATGAAACAACATTGTTCCATGTAATTGTCCAAGACAACGACAACAACAACAACAACACATACTTATTCAAATAAATAAATAAATAAATAAAACACAGTGAGTATTTCGTATTGCAATTAGATGAAAGTACTGATATAACGAACTTTGTTCAGTTATTATTTTACATACGTTTCAAAGCAGATAAAAGAGTTGCAGAAGAATATTTATTTTATGAAACTCTTCAGGAAAGAGCGACTGCAAATGAAATTTTAAAAGTAATTGACAATTTTATGTCTGAATATGATATTCCTTGGAATAATTGCATTGCCGTATGCAGTGATGGAGATCGGGCTTTAACAGGATAATTATTCCGGTGCTACTTCTCAAATAAAGAAAGTCGCACCTGAAACGACATTTACTTACTATTCCATTCATCGTGAAGTTTCAATAACCAAAGCAATCTCCAAAACCTGAAAATCATTTTGAATCAAGCTGTGAAAATTTTTAATTGTATTAAAAGCCGAGCTTTAAATTCAAGAATATTTACGAATTTATGCCAACAGATGGGCAGATAACATGAAACAATTTTGTTATATTCCGAAGTTAGGTGGTTATCCAGAGGCAAAATTTTAAGTCGTCTTTTTGAACTTGGATCAGAAATTCAAATTTTTCTCTGTGATTCAAAATTTGAATTGCAAAAATGTTTATTTTGTGAATTATGGTTGGCGTGTTTAGCATATTTAGCTGATATTTTTGGAAAGTTAAAGGAAGGAGATTGGGAAAGTTAGTTTGCTTACCATTAGACATAAAAATAAATGAAATGGTTAAAAAAAAAAAAAAAAAAAAAAAAAAAAAAAAAAAACCTCGAGCTAATAGTCAAAAAATTGGATAACAATATTTTAGAGCTTTTTCCACTTTTAGAAAGCTTTCTAACTGAAAATAATTTGAAAATAAAAGAAGAATTAGTGTCCGACATTAAAAATCATGGTTTTTCATTAATAAATAAATTCAACATGTATTTTCCAATTGATCAAAAAAAAAAAAAAAAAATTGGATCGTAAATCCATTTTGTACCTGAAATTTTTTGTCGGAAAGAAAGAGAACAATTGACAGAAATTTCCTGTGATCGAACTCTAACTAAAGATTTAAAAAATAACATACTTGTTAACTTTTGGCTGAACCGAAAAAAAGAATTTAAAGGCATTTCAAATAATGTTATTAAATTTTTATTGCCTTTTGTGTGAAGAAAAATTTTTTTCCATGTTACATTTGAAAAATAAAAACAGAACAAAATTAAAAAGTGGATCCAGAATTAAAGTATTATAATTTAAGTTTTGATCATTAAAATGGTAACCAATTTTTAATCTAATATTTTTCTATTTGTGTATATTTAATACAAATAGCCATAAGAAAATAGCCAATAGGTTGTGCAAAGGGCAATATATATACAGATATATTTCTATTGAGAAATTGAAAAATAATCATTGTAAAATGTAGTGCTGGTAGTAAAGTTTGTCAGTTTTTGTTTAGGTGGTACGCGTCAGTCAAAAGGTTGAAAACCGCTGCTCTATGCAATTAGTTTTTCCTTTATAAGTTTTATAAGTGTGTTTATAAGTGTTCTTTATAAGTGTCCATGAAGTTTGATTAAATTTTCCTTTTACGATTTCCTAGAATAATTAAATAAATGCTTTAAATCTCCAACGTGGCATTTTTAACCAGGCCAAAAAGGAAGATTTTTAATATTTCGCACAGAAGTTAGGAAAATATCATTCCTATCCCGTACTCAGAATAATACGACTTAAAAGCTTAATTATTAAAATTAAATTATATAAGAAAGAATTCCTTTAATCTTTCTTAGCAACAGTTTTTTAGTGTTGAATGTACTATATTTAATATTTGCGTTCCTTTATTTCTTTTGTCTTATTTATTTTCTCACTGTTTAATTTTATGTTATGATTTTTACAATAATCTTGTTACTGGCAACTTGCTTTATTTTACTATTGAGTTTGTGTGACTGGCAACAGTTGTTCATGTTTATGTTTCAGTAGAATAGCGTTCTTAGCCGCAGTCTGCTACAGCCAATCTTTCTGTTAAAGAATTTCAAATAGCTGCCTTGAACTAAAAAGTATCAGCTTTGTATAAACACTTTATTGATATTCTAAAACAGGTAAATTCTTTAACAGAAAGATTGCCTGCAGCAAGAACGTTATTCTAAAGAAACATAAACATGAACAACTGTTGCCATTCACACAAACGCAATAGTAAAATAAAGCAGGTTGCCAGTTACAAGATTATTGTAAAAATCATAACATAAAATTAAACAGTGAGAAAATAAATAAGACAAAAGAAAAAAAGGAACACAAATATTAAATATACATCCAAAAGTTAGGCTTGAAAAGCTAAATAAAAAGCGAATAGATATTGAATTTTAGCTTTTAAAAAAATCGAGAATAAATTCTTACCTTCAGGATCGAATGAAGAAAGTGCAGCGCCCTGCCATGAACTAATAAAAGTGTTGCCTAAAGTCGGGATGGTGGTATTTTACTCTATTTATCTTTATTTGAAAGGCGTACGAAAAGGATTCGGATAAATATGAAAAACTGGATATCAGGTATACCCATACTGTTACCAATAGAGATAGTACAGCTCATAGCAAGGAAATCAGAAGAACGTTCTGAGAATTATATATACATTAAAGATACTTTGCTTGAAAATTTTTAAATGAACCCGGAAAAAATTATTTAGAGTCAAGAAAAATCCTGCAAAATCATGGGGAGTATATGGTGGTTGCAGAGGCACTTGTTATTGGGAAGACGGGGAGGACCGGAACTAGTTCAAAAGGATTAGAGATGGAGCTACAGTCATAGCCGTTTGATATAATTCTTTATTTTTAGAATTGTATCTTTGAAATAAATTTAGTATCTATGGAAAAGTATCTTTGTCATTAAGTGTTAACTAAATTAGTAAAATTGAGCAGCGAGTCCTTTATTCAATAATTACAAAGATAATTTTCATACATTCATGCTATTGCAATTGCAAAGAAACAGAGAATGCATGGCGAAATGCATGTTATCAGAACAGGAATAGGTGTGAGAAGAACGCAAATTATTTATTTTACATAAGGAATGGTGAAGTTATATTATACGAGTTATATTCGTATTTCTCATGAAAGTTATATTATATTTCTCATTTTCTTTATGGCTTTATTAATGCTGCCAGGTAAAAGGTTTTGCTTGGTTATTTATTGGATAGAAGAATTCATACTTTTGCCGCTATATAAGCATGCACCTTCAGTGTTATATATGAATTAATATTAATAGGAATTAATTTGGAATGTCACACTTCAGAAAGATTTATTGGAGTATTTTACTGTTTTTAGAACGCAAAAAGAAAATAACAAAGTATAATAAATGAAAATAGTTTAATAAATTACTAATAAATGAAAAAATGTAAAATTAATAATGACTAATGAATAAAAACGCACTGGCTTCGAAAATGTCTGATTACTTTAATGGCATTTTCGAAGCCATTGCGTGTAAGACACAGTTTCAGTGACTGAAAATAAAAGAAGATTACGCGTTTTATTTCAAACAATTAACTGAACTCCCAACACGTTCTAGCAACACCACCTTCCTTCGTTGTAATTTTGCGTGTTATTATGTAACCATCTAAAGAGACGCTGGCTGTCAGCTATGTTCAAGAGTAATGCTTATTGTTTTCATATATGCTATATTGATGAAGTTGTTTTCTCTAAGCAGAGTTCAGTAATTAATGTTACAGATTTAAAAGAAAGATGATTTTCCTGATTATAGGAAAAATCTCGTTTAACTTTGATTTGATATTCAGAAAATTGTTTAGTGTTTTAGGTACTTCACGTCTTTCTGAATATATTATTTCATTGAATAATTTTTTCTTAGATAATTTAGTTTTCATCAAAATGTTTTCTTCTGGAAATTAAGCTTTCAAGTTAAGCTTAAGTTAAGTTTCCTACGGGTGATTCTTTTAAAATTCTTCAGAAAATTTAATTTTTGATGTATTAAACGTAACTAAATGAAATATCAGAAATTGATTCATATTTATTTTCGTTTTCTTCCTCACACACACATATAGAGAGAGAGAGACAGAGTCAGAGAGAAGGAGGGAGGGAAGATGATGGATAGGAGAATATAAATTTCATTTGTCTATGGACATTAGATTCTCTGCTTAGTGGAAAATAAGTGCATATGTATCGATTCCGAATTCCGACTGACAACGAAAATTACAGGACTTCCCGGTGACAAACGGCATGAAACTTCCAAGGATTATCGAGCAAGTAAACAAAACTGCAGTTACAAAGTGAGGTATTTCGTAATTGCACGCGAACTTTAGGGCGTTTCAAGGGGATTACTCTTCCGCAGTATTTAAGCTGAACATGATGTAGCTATGAGTTAAAAGGTCGTCATATGATAAGGAGCATTCCTTGCAGGTGGTACGTGTATTGTACGACATTTGACTATTCTTAAGAAATGTGATACAGAGTAGCTAGAGTTTCCAGCGCCCGGGGACAACTGAAGAATTTGCGCCCCTTTCTGTGTGCCAAAAATGGAAAATATTTCATTAAAAAATTTCGTAGCATCAATTTGGCGCCCCTTGGATGCTGCGCCCGGGGACAGATGTCCCCCTTTGCCCCACGACAGCTGAAAAGCAGTGTTGTGGAAAAATAAGTATATTGTACGATTATTCAAA